TTTGCCAGGTGTTAGTACGTGTCCAGGCTTGTCTTACCGTCGTTCTTCTTGCAGCTCGGACATTCCCAATGGTAGTCGCCCTTATCGCACCACCTGCAATGTCTAGGATTTCTGTCATGCGAGGGAGAACGCACGTTAACATTACCCGCGCATGCGGGACACCCGAGCCCTCACGAAAGCGGTCTCACGATCGAGCCATCGGGCTGCCGAGGGGGACTCGGATCGTCCAAGTCATATCCCCACACGTTGGTAACCAACACGGTGGACGAATAATTGTGGCCATGGAAAGGGTCGCGATTTACCTGGAAGAGATTGTGTGCGATCTGAACAGCATCGACAAAAAGCGACTGCATCTTTGGAGTAAATTGTGCAGCCATGGGCAATTCTCTGTTACATACCGACGCATGTTGATGATGGCCAGTACATCGTTTTCGTTCAAAAAAGGTAAACAAAAAACGATGGTTAGCCATGCTCTCAGTCGGCTTTCGTATCAGTACCCCATGGGAATCACGTAAACCAATAGTGCAGTGGTCCATAATCACCTTGCAAGTGCCCTTGCTTTTGGCCAATGTAATCCATGGTGGTATCTGATCCACCAAGTGCCCACTGATTGTTCTCGTAAGTAGAATCGTCGAAGATTGTTCTGACGCGTGGCCACCTTCCCACAGAACTTGACATGCGGCAAATCCTCTTTATGATGTTCATACCAAATATCGTAGTTAACCTGAGCATTGACATAGGAAGGTAGCCCAGTCGTTCTGCAGCTAGGTTGCAATAACAACTTCGACGAAACAAACGTCCACATAGCGCATCACTGGATCTTGAACATCCTTGTTTCCAGCGTCAACAAAGGAACGTTTGTCGAGGTCCCCCCCTGAGGACAGACCTCGGCTGAATGCTAGCTGCAAGATGCCTCCACTTCCTCCGCGCAATTCCAGCATATCCACCTCGTTATGACGTCCATAGCACAAGGTGGGGATTAGGGAGAGTCTATCTGCATAGGATTCAGCTGGTTGCCCCGCAAGTCATGTGATGAAGAATTCCTCTTCATCATCACTTTCCGTGTCGGAGTCAAGAGGTGCGTCGGTGTAGTAGGCACTACATCCGAGTCCTTTCAGGTCATCTCCGCAGTCGCCATTGCCTCCTTCGACTATCTAGGGTATCTTGCGTGGTTTGGTGCCTGCTTCTTTGTCTGCGTTCTGTATGTTTTTGTTTGATTCGGGCATCGGTCGGTCGCGCTGTCTGTCGCTCAGTCTCAGGTGAACAGAGAATCGGAAATTCGGGAATAGAGGGGAGCACGCGGCCGCGCTCAATCGACGGGGGAGGGGGGCGATTGCCATCGATGATCGCCACTCGCCTTGGGCGTGGAAGTGAACTCCCGTGTCCGAGGAGAGCCGGTTCAGGCTGCTCCCAGTACAATCGAGTACGGATGATGGTGACAACATGTGGTAAAGGTGCGTTGTAGTTGTGCCCGATAGGCTGGTCCTGGATCTCGTTGTCTCGTATGATCGTATTGTCGCCCAGGTTCACCGTTGCCCGTCTGACAACATTGTCCCACCCAGGGCCATTCTTCGGATAATGAACGTAAGTTCGAACTCCTTTACCCACTCGAGTGTGGATACTAAGGAGTACAGCACTTGTGTGATTTCTCTGCGTCTTGTGCAAGTCCATCTGATCAATCAACCTTGAGGTCATGCTCGCTGGCGCCTTGTGGCGCCATTCGGCCATCTGAGCTCCTTGTCCGTGCCAATCCGGGACATGCTCAGTAAGTCGTGCAGGTTTCCCTGCTGCTGTGCAAGGGCATCGCCACAAATTAATCGGAATGCGCGTGCAAGTAGTTGCCACTTGCAGATATGATCCGCTGGGCAACGTATTAGAACGGTCGTACTTGAGGCCGAAGTGGCACAATCGCATGCGCATGACCTGTAAGTCAAGACCTTCAATGGCGTCTCGTATAGGACCTTGTTTCCAGAAGTATCATGGTGGCCCCACAAGCACAATAGTCATGCGTAGAGCCCGAGCCTTGGCCATCTAGTTTTGGATGCGTTGACAATGTGGTCCTGCCCGCTTGCCAGGCAGTCTCACATGCCAATCGGCAGGTGTAGCCACCCATAGCAGTTGGTAGTCACCCGAGAGAAAAAGCACCCAAACATTGTGTACCAGTGAAGGTCATGACCGCTGCATGTGCAATGCGGTCACACACGGAACCACGGGCTCGGAGTTCAGCGCAATCTGTCCGCATGTCCTCAATAACAAATGCACGAGAGTGATAATGATGCGATGAGCTCTCCTTTTCTGCAGCGGCCACACAGCCAGGTCCACTGCTATCCGTGGCAGCCGCACAGCTGGGCTGACCACTGCCCTGGCGCGCACAGCCGGCGCCTGGGAAAATAATGCAGGCTTCCCCGCGTTTGATGACAGCACCTGAGTGTTCGGCCTGTCTGAGCAAGCGCGGGCGGCCGTGGCGCGCGCCTGCCCCCGTCGCTCGTTTGGCGACGGGGGCGCCCAAATGCCTTTGCCATGCTGCGCTGCAGAGTCGCTGCTCGAAGGTAAAAATATATTCAACTTCTTAGCGGCATCATCTCCTTCCGCAAGTGTCCATGCCTGTGCATCGGGCGGTGCCCACTTCGTGCCCCCCTCGTAGATTGCCTGATATACCTTCGCCTGCAAATTGCGCAGGGCGAAGTCCTTGTCGGCCGAGGTCGGGTTGGTCCCGAAGCAAGTATTCCTGCGATGCTAAGTCTTCAAGGTGTTATTCACCAAAGACTGGGTCGTGAACGTGAACGTCTCCTCTTTGATGGACGAGCTGATGCCCTCGGTATCCTGTGACATCATATGTATGAGCGTCACTCATAGCAGGTGCCCCCACGGCTGGCTCTGGATCAGAAGCTTCTTTGACGAGCAACGGATCATCTTCGCATTGAGGATTGGCCGTGATAGTAAACGACATCGACCCTTTACCCTCAGTAGCGGCCCCGTACTCGTCGCCCTTGAGTGCCAAATGTCCAGAAGGAGTTTTCATCATATCGAGCACCCTGGCACCCTCTCCAAGTAGAAGCGCGCGCATCTCAGAGCCAGGGGTGATCGTCTTCTCGTGCCCCGGCTCCAGGATCAGGATAGTCCTCGTGTTAGACATGCTCCTCAGACCCAGGATAACAGGGAGGTTCCCCCCCAAACCCTCGGCTAAATTTGCTGAGTAGGTATCAAGCCTGGGCACCGCAGGTGTCCCCGCCGGATATCCCCTTTCTTTGCGCGCAATCTTGCAGTGCAGGGAGTTATCCATATCGCGGCGCCATGTCCAGCTCCGGACACGTAGAGCCTCTTCGTTATGTTAAGCCTCTTGATGGCGTGTCCGTGGGAACGAGATGCCTGTTCGAAGGTCTGTGCCGTCTCTAAACCAATAATGTTAATATTACTGCCAAAATCAAAAAGAACAGTCAACATGCCATTTACCGTTGTTCCACTGTTTGCCGCCAAAACCAATTCGTGGCGTTCACCAAATAGTCCCGGCACTTCAGACAGCGTCGTCCCGTGCATGCCCCTGCGGCGCCTCTGCTGCAACACCCAGTCGTTTCGTGACAAAGGATGTAAAAACGTTTATGTATCGGCGAGCCTCTTCTTCCGTAATGGGATTCTTTTCAAAGGTCCTATGCCGCGGGATACTCGTCATATATATATATATAAATATATATAGCAAGTACAGACGCTTCTAGGCGGCCAAGCAGCGTCAGCTGTATTGATACACCTTTCCTGTGTGCGCGCTCGAGAGGCTCCAACAGGCCACGAGTTCGGGGCACGGCGCCGAGCCCCGCTGAGACATCAGCCAGCACAGATCCCACAGCAGGTAATGTACAAGAGTGGACCGAGAGAGAAGGGTTGGGATGGGAGGGTCGGGGCTTGAGCAGTACGGCCGCGAAGAACGCGGTGCGGCCGCCTGCCCGCTCCCCTCCTCGCTTCACGATGTTAAATCTACCAGCAAGTACAGGCGCTTCTAGGCGGCCAAGCAGCGTCAGCTGTATTGATACACCTTTCCTGTGTGCGCGCTCGAGAGGCTCCCACAGGCCACGAGTTCGGGGCACGGCGCCGAGCCCCGCTGAGACATCAGCCAGCACAGATCCCGATTCCCAAACGGGCAAATTGGCCGCAGGCCGGAGCCCCATGGGGCTTCCACTGACAGAAGAAAACAGAGAACCTACGGGCACACAATCTCTCCGAGGCGTAATCCATGCCTTTGTTCCGAGGAATGGGCAAGGACGGCGGCGGCAGCACGAGCGAAGGGCGGGGGGTACGCTGCAGCAAGGCTGGTCCATTTGCGACCGCCTGGCGCCGTCCCCGACAATTCAATGTGGTGCTCCTTAGTGCGAGAACAGATCCCATTCTTTCCATTGCACCTACGAGTGAGAGGCTCAAAACTGGAAATGTTCCACCCCTGAAGCCTGGTGGCTTTTCGCCAACGGGCCCCGTACTGACAGAGGTGGCAGACAACAAATTCAGACTCGGGCTGGGCTCCAAGACGGGCAAGTCTGGGCGCCGCCCAAATCAGGGAGGTCTGGGGTTCTCCAGAAGAACGGGCACTCCGAGATCATTGGCCAACGAGATGATGCGGCACAAGAAATTGAGGGTCGCATTCCCTACTCGAACTCTAGCGGACTCGCTTTCGTTGAGATTGGGCAACCCCATGGGCGAAGCCACATCTCGGAGGGGTCTGCGAAGGGCCCGTGTCCATGTCGTACACGGGGTACCCAGAAAAATCCCCCAGATGAGACCGCACTTGATCCAGCCCGAGACGAGCCTTTCAAACGTTTTGTCTAGATGATCTTCAAAGGGGCCATGCAGGAGGTCAAGGCTGAGGGCCCCAAAGCCTTCGGCCCTGAGGGCCTTCGCGACCATCCCAGTCCCACCAAAAAGCTCCAAGAACACTCCGTGCCTACGCTTGCGAGAGGCTTTCAGTTCACGAGCGAGCAGCCGCTTCAAGTGACGCTGGATTTGCGCTGGCGAAGCTATGGCAGCGAGGCTCCGATCAGCGCCTGCACGGGCGCGGGCAGCTGCTGCCGCAGGCGCGGCCGTTGCGTGAGGGCGGGCCCCAGCTCGACAATCTCTAGCAGGTTGGCGTGCACGAAGCGGCCGAACACGAAGACCCAGTCGGGAACTTTGGTCATGGCATCCTGCAAATAGGCCTCCTTGGCATAACGCTTCCTGCTGCCCGGCGAGGCCCACCGGCCGTGCCTCTGGGTTTGCTCCAACGTCCTCCGGCCGTCCAAAAGATCCCAGCTTGCCCCGCCGCGTCGCAGCGCGTAGAGGGTCGGGTTGAGGGCCTGGAGCTGCAGCAAGTCCGCGAACTCCCTGAAGCGGTCGCGCAGTGCAGGCAGCGTGAAATCCCAGAGGCTCTGGCCGAGGCCCACGGCGGCCTTGAGGCCGGCGAGCAGCGGCCACAACTGCCGGTCGAGATCTATCACTACACTCTCGTTGTACAACCCGGTCTTGCCTGGGCGGCCGCCGCTGGTGGGATGCAAGAGCAGCGCCCAGCAAGCCGCCGATGCCGCTGCCTGCGCCGCTGGGCGCACGAGGGAGCCCCCTCGCAGCCCCTGCGCCTCGAACGGCCTCAGGTAGCAGCTGAACGAAAGCAGGATCCAAATCGCCATGCGTCGGCGCCCGCTGATGGCCAAAAGCCCAGCCAGCGCTGCTGCCGCGAAGTATGGAAGCGGCACCCTGGTCATCGAGGGCACGCGACGCGCCCAGGCTATCGAGCTCCTCGTAGCCCGCGGCAGATGGGCCCCCCACGAGCCCTGGAGGCCTGGCAAGAAGTGAGCCAAGGACGCCAGCAGCAGGGAGCCCTGGCTCGCGGGGGCCCCGCGCTCGAACTGGTAGTTCAGGAAGCGGGTGGCCACCAAGTCGAGCTGGTCGAAGTCCCTCCAGTCCAGGCGGCTCTCGGAGCAAAAGGCCGCGAACTCCCTCAGGACCCTGCGGTACTGCCCCTCCGTGCTGGCCCGCACCGCCAGGGTCTCCAGGGCGCTGAGCTGTCCCATCGGCGGCCGCTCGGCCATCAGGCGACCCGCCAGGGCGGCGCGGCGGCCGCGGGCCTCCAAGGCCGATGGCGGGGGCCTCCGCGCGGGCCGGCGCAGGGCCCGCGGCCGCGCAGCCGCTGGGCGCCGCCGCGCCGCCATGCGCAGGAGGCAGCCCTGCGCGGGCGTCGGGGTCCGAAAACCAGGTGCGACGCCCTCGAGACAGAGCGTCGGCAGGATTGCGTTCTGACGGAATCCACCGGCAGTGCAATCTCGTTCCCGTAGCAAGTGACATCATACAAATTTTTAGCAATGGAAGTTGTGGGTATGCTGAGGCCGCTCTCCCCTTCGCCACGGCCAGACACAATGGCATATTGTCGACCAGTGCCAGAACCCGTTTGCCACGGCAGGCTGAGGATCTCAAGAGGTGCTTGTAGGCAACTACCAGAGCGTCGGCCTCCAACCCCAAGATGTTCTGGCCCGCCTGGACCCTCGTAGCGACTACGCCCCTCCAAGACTTGGCATCCAGGAGACCCGCGGGCATCTCGTCGAACTCCTTGAGCTTACTCCCGAGATCCAAGATCAAGGGGGCATCGTTGTGGAGCTCCAGGTCGGGGTCCTCGGGAAACTTGTCGGGGTCCAGCGTGCCAAGCGAAGCCGAGTCGAAATCCAACTGACTGTGACCAAACACGACCTCCCTATCTGCAGGCTCGCAAGGGCCAGCGGCAAAAGACGATGCCAGGGGTGAGCGGGTCGATGCAGAGGAGAGAAAAGCTCTTTCCCTGGCACGCGCCCCACCCTCCACTCGGTACCGCCACCGCTCGCAGAGACGGCCGCAGCGGGCGATGAGGTCGCTTGAGGCCTGCCGGCGGCAAACGCCCAGCCCCTCCTCGCTGGCGTCACTGGCGACCAACCTCGTCGCCCAGGGCGCGGCGAGGTCCGCCACAAGGAGCGGCAGCAGGCAGCGGGCGCGCCACAGCTCAGTCCGCACGGAGGGCCAGAGCGTCTGCACCTCCGCACCGGACGCTATCATGAAGGCGTACGTCGCGCTGAGGAGCCCCAGCGCCTCGCGCCTCACCATCGAGGCCCAGGTCAGGTGGCCAACCAGCACGCGCACGAGATGCCCAGAGGCGCGACCGCGCCTAAGCAGCTCCTCGATGGCGAGCTTCAACCTCCAGACGGAGCGCCACTTGATAGCCAGCCAGCGGCCCTGCCGCAGCTCCATCCCCAAGAAGTTGCAGGTGTCCGAAGCCCGCTCAGGCTCGTGGACTCTCACGCCAGCGCCCTCCAGCTCCGCGGTGATGCGATCCAGGGCGCGATCGGCCTCCGACTCGTCGCCGCTGACGGCCAGGTAGTTGTCCACGTATCCTGCGACGGCGGCCTGGCCCTGCGGCTCCACGACGACGCCGGGGAGGCCGTCCTCGATGATGAGGTGGCCCGGCACGCCAGCCCGCGAGACCGCGGTCCGCAGCGCCAGCTGGCAGAGGTGCAGCGCCCAGGAGAAGCCCATCGGCAGCACGACCAGGCAAGCCTGCACCCTGGCGGCATCGGGGAGTCCCGTGATACCGCGGGCCTCCAGGTGCCGCCTGTCGATCGGCGGAAGCCTGAAGTAGCGGCACAAGCCCTCGGGCATCAGCAGCCGGTAGAAGGCGTTGTCGATGTCTCCTGCCGCGACGACCACCTTGCCACCTGGCGCCTCCAGGTTCGAGAAGGCGGCAGCACTCGGCAGCGTGGTGGCTGGGGGGTCCGTGAAGTACGCATTCGCAGTACGAGTGTCAAAGATCAGCCTCAGACGGTTGCTCTTCTTTGCCACGCAGAAGACTCCGATCGGCTTGATACGAGGGTCCTCCGCCTGGAAACAAATCATCTTCCGCTTTAACATCTCAGCAAGGAAGTCGGCGAACGTCGCCGGAGAGAAGGCAAGGTGGGGGTCGACATACGGCCCGCGAGGGCAAACCTGCTGCAGGAGGGCGTCCGCCTCCTCGCCACCACGCAGCATGCTCGAGCTCCAAGCCTTAAGCCACTGAGCGTCCGGGCCAGCAACGACCTTTGTGAGAGGCACGGGGTCGTCGCCGACGTCGGGCCACGAGATAAGGTCCCGCGAGTAGGGTCGGCGAGGCCCCCCCGCGGCGTACAGCGGGGAGCCAGAGAGAAGATCCGAAAGCGCTCCTTCGGGAAAGCCCTCGCCCTCAGCCAGCGGCTCGAGGCAGGCGAAGGTGGACTGGATGTACGCGAGAGACGCCCGCTGGCCTTCAGAAACTCCGAGGGCTGACGGCTGGGCCTCAGGGGCACACACAGCGTTCATGACGTCGATGGCGTCGTTGGCCCAGTCCTGCCAAGGAGCATCATCAGAAGGTTGACGGTGCCCGCGGCGGCTGCGCACAAAACTGGAGCCCTTGCGTGGGCGGCCCAAGAACGGCAAGGGGAAGATGTCCCGCTGGCGCCCTCCTGGCTCCGCACGGCGCGAGGGCTGAGGTGGCCCGTCAGCCGAGGCGTCAGGGCCCGATGGGCTGGATGGCGGGAGCGGGCGCCCAACCCAACTCCCCGCTCCGAGGCTACTTGTCATCCTTGCCAGAGCCCTTGTCGCCCTTGGTCCCCTTCTTCTTGCGGGCCAAGTCGCGCTCCTCTCTGGCTTTGCGCTGCTCCTTCCTGTAAGCATTCATCTTCGTGAGTTCGTCCTTGATGTGGTCCTGCAGCATCGGCGCGACGCACACGTTCCCGCGCAACTGGTCAGTACCGAGCAACACGTGTGCGTCGAGGCTGCCTGAGTCGGCTGCCGGGGCGACGCGGTCCCTGTAGCGCTCCTCCTGGAGCTGCGCCGACCTGGCCAGCATCTCGCCCGAGGCGAGATTCGCAACATTCAGCTGGTCGTAGATCACCATGCGCTCCACGGTCCTGCACGCCCGCTCATGCTCGTCGACGCCAGGCTCGGTGCCCTGCAAGCGCGTCTCCGAGAGCCAGCGCGAGTGGCGGCCCGTTGGAGTACCGCCGTGAGCCTCCATGAACTTGAGGACCCACAGCGCCGTCCGCGGACCCCTGACTGGCCAATCGGGGAAAGCCCCCTCGGTCATGCCCATGACCGCGCGTCGGTAGTCCGCGTGCCGCTGGCCCTGCAAGTCGTACGTGACGGGCTGGATGCGAGCATCCACGGGCGCGGCCGCAGCCGCCGCGGCCCCACGGCCGCCATCGGCGGCAGCTGGCCCTGCAACCGCGGGCGCCGCTACCAGCGGCGGCGGGGGGCCTGCCAGCGCCGGGACGCCTGCCCCGGGCGCTGCTGGGCCGTCAGCGAGCGCGGCGGCCAGGCCAGCCACCCCAGCCGCCACGGCGGGCCCCCCGAACCCGGCGGCGGGCGCCGCGGGGGGGGCGGCCGCCAGCATGCCAGCGGGCGGCCCCACGCCACCAGCGGCGAGCGCCGCGGCCGCTGCGCCTCCGGCAGGCGCGATGCCAGCGGCGCCAGGCCGAGGGCGAGCACCGCCTGCAGCGCCGACCAGGTTGGGCACCACCGTGTCCTCAGCGCCGAGGGCGACTCCCATCCTGGCTGCTCCCGCGGCCAGCACCTGCGCGACCCGCGCGGGCGCGGGGGCGCCCCTGAAGCCGTGCACGTGCATCCCAGCAGCCGCTGGAGGGCACGCGCCCATGCGTCCGCCCTCGCACGGCAGCCAGCGTCGCACTTCAGCGACGGCGATGAGGTCCTCCTCGTAGCTGTCGTCGTCCGGCGTGAGGGTGCACGCCAGGCTCGAACCGTCGGGCGCGAGCACCACCAAGCGCTCGTGCCACACGTTGGCGTACCCAACGTACTCGACCAGGATGAAATCCCCTTCCTGCAGGCCCAGGGCGGCGATCGGATGCCGCGCAGCGGCCGCTGCCGCCATGCTAGCGGGTCAGCTGGGGCCTCGAGGCTCGCAGAGCTGCCACCTGAGCCGCCGCCAGCTGCGCCGCCGAGGCCGGCGCCTCCAAGGCCGCCGTGGGCGGCCGCGCGGGGACGTCCGCCGCCGCAGGGGCCCCTGATGTCGCGGGAGCGGCCCGCCTGCCAGAGGCCCCGCCAGCGGCGCCCACCGCGGCAAGGCTGGCCAGCCACGCAAGGCTAGCTCCCAGCAGCCCGGGCCGCGGGACCTCCGACACCGCGCCGCCTGGGCACGCCAGCCGCGGCTCGCAGGTGCAGGTGCAGGAAGGGCACGGAGGCGGGGCCGGGCACGCTGGGCACTGCGCACCCCAGGCGGCGCCCCAGGCCGCCGCGCCAGCGGCGAACCCCCGCGTCGCCTCGCGGAGGATGAGGCCACCGGGGTCCATCCACGGCCCGCCCCCTCCGCTCGGAAGCCCCTGGGGCCTCGGAGCTTGAGCAGTACGGCCGCGAAGAACGCGGTGCGGCCGCCTGCCCGCTCCCCCCCTTGCTTCACGATGTTAAATCTACCATATATATAAATATATATGTGTGTGGGCGTGATGCTGAAGTAGTAAGCAGTTTCAGAAAAGCACCCTCGTCCGCGCGCATGCCAGTTTGACCATCTGTGTTTACCATAAACACAGTATGCAGCATGTCGCGTTCGGATATCGCACTGGTGCCACTGCGCGCGCGCTGGGCTCTGTCCTACGCTGATTGCGTGGGCGAATGTCTCGCCCATATGGAATGTGCGCATGTGGAGACTGAAACCACTGAGTGCTCCTATCAATAGCCCTCTCCATACGTCTCAACCAGGTGTCATTGACCGGCACAGCAGGAGGTGCTGATGCAGCAGGTGCCCCTGCAGTGTTAGCGGTCTCTTCTATCAGTGGCATAGGCGTGTCCACGGCAGGTGCCCCTGCAGGTGTGGAGGCCTCCGTCACTAGCCCCGCGTTGGCTGATGATGCAGGTTGCCCCGCTGGTATCGTTGTTGGGGCTGCCGCATTGCTCGCCATCATCGCCGTGCTGCGGTTGAGCTCTTCACGGAGGTCCCTGACTTCGTTCGCCCCTCGGAGTATATCTCCATGACGATCTAGTGGCTCCTGATCTCCAGCGAGGGCGCAGTGGAACTCAGCTGGGATTAAGCCAACGCCCCCTGCATATGGCGCGGGGTGCCTCAGTTGCGGAATCCTCCATGTTCCCAGCCAACTGTCTATCCACATGAGCATGTGCAGCTCGGCCCCAGCACCGTGCGCGAAACATGTGGCCACACTGGAGCCTCCAGACTTTATCGTGGTGCATGAAGTGGCCCAGGCATATGGCACACTTGTTGGAGTCGCCGTCGCTGATGATGGGCGGTGTTGCCGATGGCCTGATACGCGTCTGGCGCTCCAGAGTATCTCACCAGCTTCATATCGAATCCGCGAAACCGTCCGTAGCTGCATTGCTGCAAGCGCTGCTGGACTGATCGCAGGTGTCACTGCTGTATTGGAAATAACAGGTTGCCTCGCACGGCCCAGCATCCTGTTGGCCTGACGCTCCTGGTTGCGACGCTGGCGGGCAGACTGCATCGCCATGTTGGCCTGCTGCGCTTCGTGGATGGCCAGGATCTCAGGGGGCAGCTCCCCCATGAACGATGGTACTACTAGGCCTGGGGCCTGTTGCTGCACATCTGGGTCCATGGGGGCGGCCAAATATCCGTTGTGGGGAATCTGGCCTGGCACACCTGATGCATAACCCGAGCCGCGCGTCAGCTGAGACTGGTGGAAGTCGTCGGCCGTCGCCCGTGCATACAGGTTTTCGGGCTGCGTCCCCACTCGAGGAGTGCTACTTACCTGAGCGTGATAGTCAGGATATTGCGGGTAGTCCATTGGTGCTGCTGTGGGGCGTTCTGCAGCAGTCGGATCGCATGCCGGATGACTGAAAAATGCTGGCACGTATCCAAACCGATTGGGGTTGTCCGGTGATGGATTTGGATCCGGAACATATCCCAAGGCAACGCCCAGTTGGCGCTGGGGAGGTCGATGCCGCCCCTACGCATGCTCTGAGCGGTTTCGCGCATCTGCCGATACATCCGCTCTTGCTGACCAACCAAACTCTCGGTTCTCTGTGCAGCATGGCGATCAGGAAAAGCAGGTTGCCCCGCATGTGGACGCGGCGATGCACATGGCGATGTCGCCTGTAAAGCCTGATCGAGCTGCGGGTCCATTCGAATGCTTTGGAGCCTTGCCTGTAGGCTCCTGGTGATCCCAGCACTCTTTGGGGTACCATAAGAAATTGTGGCTCTGCTCATCGGTGCAAATGAACCAGGTTGCGCTGCGGGTACTGGCAGCTGCTGCACCTGAGCACGCCACGGATCGTTGGCGTATAGCGTGTCAGTGGGCGCGATGCCACTTGAAGCAGTACCTGTCACGTCCGCACTTCGAGCCTGTATCCAAGATCCATCATATCCCCCTGCAGGTGCCCCCGCTTGATACACGTCCTGCATCGTGAGCGCCGCTGAGAACTCGACCTCCTGAAGGGGGGCTGGTTCGGGGCACTTCAGCTTGTAGAGGGTCTTTGGGATGAACCAATCTCTCAAATATGATGCGTCTTCCGATATCCGCACATCTGTTCGATAGAACTATTACCACCTGGATGCGGCTGATTGCTATCTCGCAGATACAAGGGATTGATCCACACATGCCCCACGCGGTCGCACCTGCAATATTCGCTGGGCAGAATACCTATGAACTGAACGATATGGGTCAGAGGAGTTCTGCCGTCACGTCCTGGTGACATTATGATGTCATTTGCTGAGCGCCAAATCGGTATGTTGTCCCGAAGCAAGTTCTTCAAGCTAACCATGCCCAACACCTCGGAATCAACGCGCAGGCCGGGCTGGATTCTATTGTCACCAGGATGGCATGGGCAATCATGCACAAACTGTCTGCCCCTCTTCTTGCTGGTGTCGTCGGCGCGGCATGACAGTCCGACGCTGAGTACATTGGGGATGTTTTCCCACTGAGTACCATGACTAAAATAACAATGTGCACCTGGAACAGTCAAATCCGTAATTCTCATATACAATGATTCAGGGCACTTTATCCCAAGGCTGTTGCGTCCGTTACTTGGACGTAACTTGTCCCAGTACTCCCAACATCCCACTGGCATCTCCAAAGTAAGAGCAGGTTGCCCTGCGGAACTCTGAGCAGGTTGCCCCGCTGGACTCTGAGCAGGTTGCCCCGCTGGACGCTGGACTGCCGCTGATGCGGCAGGTGCTGGAGCGTTAGCCGCCAATCTGGCAGCGCCAGCGGTTCCCCTAGGCGTCCGAGGAGTTCCTGGCGGGGCGCTGATGTCAAAGTCCTGGCGTTCGTTCTCCTTGATGTTGTAGGACTCGGCTGTCTTATCTTCGGGGGCCATTCCTAGTGCCATCGTTGAGGTTGCCAACAACCGCTTCTCGGTGCCACGCCTTGTTGAAGAAGCGCCCCTTGTTGATCCTTCCAGTGGCGGCACCCAGCCAGTCCTGTGCGCCCGACCTGGTGTAGGGCCGCGACGTGGCACATGATCCTTTGGAGTCGGAGTACTGGTGCCTTGAAATGCAGCTGCAGCAGATGCCGCTGCTGGTCCTCTGGATCGACATCGATCAGCAGGTTACCCCGCAGTTCGTTGCTGCTTACTGTCTCCAGTGTTAGGATCATCTGGGCTCTTCCTCTTCTTCAGCTTGGGTCTGAGCTGATCAGGACCAAGCGACGGACTCGATGAATCCGAAGATGAAAACATATCGATAGGCGGCTCTGGCTTCGGCTTGGGCACTGCCTCGGCTGCGGCCCCTGCCGGCGCCCACGGTCTATATCTCACGGGGTCCCGGCCAGGGTTCAAGTCGATGCCACTCGGCGATCAGAAGGCCAAGTTCTTGATAGTGGTCTTTTGCCTCCTGGCCAAAAGGTATTTGGAATAACTGGTCTTGAGCCAGCATACGCCTTCAGCACGGTACGCAATCCGCCTTCCAGGAGAAAGATCCATCGCCTCAGTGACGACGCACCTAAGATCAATGGGAGGGTCCGTCTTGCACGTGACGTCCGCAGCAATGGAGTCGTCCGACGCGTACCCGGCAGGGGCCGCGTCCGTGGGGTCTACTTCTTCGGCCATCGCGTCAGCCCCGTCTCCACCATATTACTGTTGATCGTCCTTTTCTGATCTGGGATCAGCAAGCTTCCCCGCGTGCCAAGCGCGATTGAACTGCGCCAAATGATGAAGCGGTGGCAAGTTCTTCCATATGAGGTTTGATCGGGCTATTTCATCAGATGTGGCGTGGTCGTAGTCGTTCTCCGTCAACTGCTCCTCATATGGCGTTGCATTAGGATCGGCGCAGTGACCCCGACCTTCACCGCGAGACCAAGCCCACGGTGTCCTTCGAGTTCGGGCTTCTTGACGGGCGCCTCATGGGCCAGCCAATCCTGCGGTCGGCATAGTGGTTACATGAGCAACAAACACCTCGGTAAAGCTTCCGTTCCTCGATGATAGCTCTCTCGAGGTCGCGCTTGGCAATCTTTTTTTGTGCTTTAACAGGTCCGGCCCTTGTCGAGCGAATGATATTGCCGTCCTCCTCTCGTTTAATATTGCGAAGAGAATGCCAGTGACAGATCCGATGCTGTCCATCCCTGATCCAACCAGTGTTGCGTCTTATCTAAAGGTATGCGCTGACGAGCCAATCCAACTTCCGCGCAACCAACGAGGCGCTGCATTCCGCCCTCTGGATATTCTTCTCGCGGTTGATCTTCGCGAGGCGGGCGCCCCCGCAGGCGCCCCCCCCTCGGGGGCGGGGGGCAGGCGACGGAAAGAGCGAGGTGCGAGCGAGTGACGTCGAGCAGGGGCGAAGCCCTCAAGGGGGGGCCCAGGGGGGGGGGGGCGCGCCGGCGGGGTCCAATGGTCATATTAATGTGTTTGCTTATCCTTCTG